TAAAAAATACCTTGTTGCTATGGTTACGCATCATAAAAAATGCCCAAAAGTAGAGGTTTCATTAAAAATCCTTCCAGCTGCACAGCATCTGACACCATCCAAAAAAAGAGGAACTAAAGTTTTCAAAAGCAATATCTCAGAATTAATGTAACAGAGCTACTCCAACGTGCAGCCACATTGAGGCGCAATTCTAGAATTGGCATTACATTTAGTTCATAAATGTATGAACCAGTTTTTCTGCATCATTTTTGGACAATATGTTTCTAATCTTAGTGATATTACATAGGTGGAAGAGAGAAGTTTTGGTAACATATGAAGGTTAAAAGACATGTCCTGATCAAAAATACCACCAAGGTTTTTAACTTTAGAAATATGGGTCAAATTAATGCTATCCAGAGAAAGTGAAAGACTGCAAAATGTATTCCTTATACTCAGGTCCAAAAACCACAACCTCTGTCTTGTCTGAATTTAAAAACAGAAAATTAAGGGTCGTCCAAGTTTTTATGTCTTTAAGACATGCTTGTAACTTAAGTAAATGATTGGATTCATAGAGTTTCATGGACAAATAGAACTGAGAATCATCAGCATAACAATTAAAATTTATCCCATGATGTTTAATAATTTTACCTAATGGAAGCATATATAAAGAGTATTTGTCCAAGCACTGAACCCCGAGGAACACCATGACTAACTCTGGTGTATGAAGAAGATTTATTATTTACATTTACAAACTGGAATCTATCAAATAAGTATGATTTAAACCATTTTAGAGCCCAATCCCAACGTCCACCGACTCAGCTTCCTCCATGGAAGATGTGCCGGTGGGATCGAGAAGGTCCAAGAAGTACTCCTTCCACCTGCTGACTAAAGTAACTGTTTATTTTAATAAGATTTTTTATGATTTACATTTTTAGAGCTGATTTTTGGTTTATTTAATTTGAGCTGTGGGCGAGCTGGCACTGTTTCAATGAAAGACAACGATTAAAGCTGTCTTTTTATTGAATGACGAACAGGTCAGGGTCCACCGAGCCAAACCACAGAACTCAGTGAATAAAACAGAGTCAAAACGATCTGATTAGTCAGTTTATTCATTTTTAGGCACTTAGACAAGAACTGGCTCTCATTCTATACAGAAAAATCTAACTGATTACATCTGGTGGGTGTAGGACTACAGATAACAAAGACCTTCTGGTTTTGGAAAAACAATTCCAGAGTTAAAGTTTTATAAATGATAAAAATAAAATTACGGCAGTTTCATTAGAAGGTGTAACGAACCAAAGATATGGAATGAATTCAGTTTTTACACATTCAAGTTCAACATTCTGACATTTAAAGCAGTTTTCTAATTATTTAGGTCACGTGTCAAAACCACAGCCTGCGGGCCTAATGCCACCCTCGTTGACATATTATCTGTCCCCACAAGATGATATTTTAAATGTTTAATTAATATTTTAAATGTCTGTATTGCTTCTCATTCCTCACCTCTCATGACAGCTGCTCAATTTTGAAGCCAGAAGAAAGGTTGGCTGTTTCAGTCACCCTAATTTGTTGATGCTGAAAGAGCAGCAGAGAATGTCAAATGAGATCTGCAGCCAAGAAAACGTGTCTGTTTCTGATCTGAGGCAATGTATCGACTGAAATGGGCCCATTCTTGGACCAGGTCTGGACCAGGTTTATAATTTTCTGAGTTCTTAAGCCTCATGCTGTGTGGGTCTGTGCTGCTCTTGTTGTATTAGAAAACAATGAAAAGTTAAAGTAAAAAACTCAACTGGGCTCATCCAATGCTGACAGGAGACACTGTTGATCAGACAGACAAACCAGGCCCTGATATTTAAAGGAGGGCTTCTGGTAGCAGGCTTGGTTGCAACGAACTCACAGATACACTTAGATGAAGATGAGACAGGTGAGTCTCCTCAGGACTGGACTCCTCAGCTGTCCAACTCAGCAGGACAATATACTTCAAACACTTGAACCTCTAAACCTAGAGTCAGTCCAGGTATGGTACCGGAGACTGTGCCACCTGAAGCACCAGAGGATTATAACCCCAATCTCTGAGCTAAAATTTTCACATGATCTTTAAAAACAGTGGCTTATAATAAATGTTGCTTCTGTTCCTCATACAACAAACAACAAACTGAAAATACTCCAGAGGATTTTTCTCTTTTGATTCAGTTTTAGATTAGATTGAATGACTCATTATGAGAAGGTTAAGAGTTATTTTAGATTGAATGACTCATGAGAAGGTTGAGTTATTTTAAACTGAATGACTCATGAGAAGGTTGAGGTATTTTAGATTGAATGACTCATTATGAGAAGGTTGAGAGTTATTTTAGATTGAATGACTCATGAGAAGGTTGAGTTATTTTAGATGAAGTAACCCATTATGAGAAGTATCCTGATGCATGCTCACTAATCCAGGTAGCACAATCTAAAAAAAGTTAAGTCTGGTCCTCTGGACATGCAAAAACACAAAACAAAAAAAAAAAATTGTAGAAATGTTTCGTCTTTCATCCAAAAGGCTTCTTCAGGCTGAGGTGCTGTATTCAGCTCAGTCATAAATAGCACCCTCTCATAGTGGATCAACGAGTTTGCTGGTGACAGCCAAAACTAGCTGTTCACATGATTAAGGACCATCAGCCTAACAATGAATTGTTAGCACCCTGATAGTTGCTTGCTATTCATAGGGGGTTGAGTGATACTAGCAATAACAGCATTGTAAGAGGAGGACAGTTGAACACGGAGGCCTCCACCCATTTAATGATGGATGATTTATTTTCACAAAGATGGCCTCCTTTACTCCTCTCTCAAACCATCGTTCCTCTCTATCAAGGATGTGAACATCTTCATCCCTGAATGAGTGACCGCTGACCTGGAGATGAGTGTAGACTGCAGAGTCCTGGCCCTTTTACATAAACCATACAGACTACACGTGGCCTCCCCTGGGTACAGTCTGTGGTACAGAAAATGGTCAATAGCCTTGTCCTGCTCCAAAATTTTCATGCAATCTATCAACTTCTTCTTGTAACCACTTCCTGGATCTCTTTTCAGCGGTTCATAAGTGGTTAAGTTACTAAGGAGTGTCATAACTTTCTCATTAAAGTCTTTCTGGTTTAAAATCACTGTGCACCTTCCTTTGTCTGCTGGGAGAATGATGATGTTTTTGTCCTTGCTAAGAGTGGTAAGTGCATCCCTCTCCTCTCTACTGATGTTGGAAGGTGGTGGTTTGGCATTGCTGAGGCAGGCTGAAACTTTGATTCTGAGCTGTTCTGCTTCACCCTCTTTAATTCTGTTGTTGCGTATGGCTGATTCTGTGGCTGTGATCATCTTCACCAGTGGAATTCTACTTGGCGCAATCGCAAAGTTCAGTCCCCTGGCAAGAAGCTCTCTCTCTGGCTGGGTGAGCTGTCTGTAAGATAAATTCTTCACCCACTTTTTTGTCTCCCTGTCGTGTAACTGTCTACCGGAGTGTTGTCTTCCACTGAATGTGTTGTTATTGGAATTGTGATGGTGTTGACGAGTTATCAGTAAGTTAAACTTGCTTTGTTTTCAAGTTTTGGACTTGACATGCTGTGCTGGGCATGCAGTCCATCACTTGCTGAAGTGTGGTCTGATCTAGGCACGTTGTTAGTTTTTGTTTAATGTGCTCTTCTTTGGCCTTCAAGGCCTCAATAGTAAAATTGGTCTGTCTCACCCGTTTATTCAGCAGCTGGGTCTGTGCCTTCTGAAGGATCTTGTTTTACCCGGTGCCCACTGACAGAAGATTTCAGTTCCAGGCTCTTGGGAATGATGCCGCTTTGTCAGATGCAAACGTCACATCAACTCTGTGGATGTATATCAAGTTCACACGAGAAGATGTAAAAAAATGGCAGGTTGGCTTTCTTGGACTGTGAGGTCTCAGTTTCTGATGGTGGACATTTGCAAACTGAGGTATACCACAAACCCACCCACACAGACCAGTATTTGCAGTTTGACTCCCATCACCCTCTGGAGCACGTTAGGAGTCATCAGGACTCTGTATCACAGAGCAGACAGCGTCCCCACTAACTCAGGAGCCAGGCAGAAGGAGAAATACCACACAAGACAGGCTCTAGAGAAATGTGGATATCCTAACTGGGCCTTCCTGAAAGCAGAGAAGAAACCCAAGCAGGACTCCAGCCAGCCATCAGGTGAAAAGGAGGAACCCAGACCAGTGGTCATTCCATATGTTGTGGGAGTTTCAAAGAAATTGAAACATTTATTTTCTAAACACAATGTCCCAGTGGCTTTTAAACCCCAAAATACATTACAGCAAAGACTGGTTCATCCCAAAGATCCAGTCCCCCGGCACAAACAGAGTAATATTGTGTATGCTGTTCAGTGTCAGGAGGGCTGTGATCAGTCTTACATCGGGGAAACTAAACAGCCACTTGCCAAAAGGATGGCCCAGCACAGAATATCAACATCATCAGGCCAGGATTCTGCGGTCTACACTCATCTCCAGGCCACTCGTTCAGGGATGAAGATGTTCACATCCTTGAAAGAGAAGAACGATGGTTTGAGAGAGGAGTAAAGGAGGCCATCTTTGTGAAAAGAAACTGTCCATTATTAAACAGGGGTGGAGGCCTCCATGTTCAACTGTCCCCCTCTTACAATGCTGTTATTGTTAGTATCACTCAGCCCCCCTGTGAATAGCAAGCAGCCATCAGTGTGCTAACAATCCAGCTGATGGTCCTCCTTGATCATGTGAACAGCTAGTTTTGGTTGTCAGCAGCAAACTGGTTGATCTACTATGAGAAGGTTCTATTCATAAGACTGAGCTGAATACAGCACCTCAGACTGAGGAAGTCTTTCGGATGAAAGACAAAACGTTTCTACAATTTTTTTGTTTTGTTTTTTGAATGTCCAGAGGACCAGACAACTTTTTTAGATCATTATGAGAAGATTGAGTTATTTTAGACTGAATGACTCATTATGAGAAAAGTAAGCATTATTTTTGTATCTGTCTGATGAACCGTTGCATTTATAACCCGTCTCATTGGCAATTTAACATAAACACATGGAAAGAATCATTCTTTCATTGTTTCAGATTGGGTTCTTCCAGATGTTCATCCACCTCTGCAGCTTCTCTTCAGCCTCTAAAGTTTGGACTGGAGTGACCCGATCACAGGTTTGTCTGAGCAGAACTCTTTCCACCACGTGGGACGCTCCAGAACTTGGCTGCCCTGCAGCACTGTGGACCACAGGTTCTGGTACAGCTGCAGACACAGTAAAGAGACAGCAGTGATGATCCAGGTCAAGGTTAGGGCTCAGTTCTGGGTCAAGCTCAGACACAAACACACATGTATATATGTATATATATGTAATATATATATAAATATATATATATTATATAATATATCCCAGGTCCTATATATATATATATATATATATATATATATATATATATATATATAT